AAAAAAACGGAATTGCCCTGTCCGTTCTTTTCAGACGGCAGCGCACGCGACCAGAGGTGGAACCATCTATAGCTTTAGCATGAAGAGCAAGTCCGACCCGAAAATCAATGAGATGATTAGGCTTTGTGCTGAAATGCCAATGTCAAAGCATATCAAGGACTATCAAACTATTGATGGCATTTTATATTTCAAAAACAAGGCTGTTATTCCGTCTGACACTGATTTGAAATTACACATCCTTCGTTCTAGACACGATAGCAGATTAGCAGGTCATCCGGGGAGAATGCGAACGTTAGCACTGGTAAAGCGCGCATATCACTGGCCGTCAATGAAAGCATTCATCAACAAATACGTGGACGGATGTGGATCATGTCAACGCGTAAAATCTAGGACCGAAAAGCCATTTGGAAGTCTCCAACCTTTACCTATCCCGGAAGGACCATGGCTCGACATTTGCTACGACCTAATCACGGACTTACCCAAATCTGGAGGTTATGACAGTATCCTAACTGTTGTTGACAGACTCACAAAGATGGCGCACTTTGTTGCATGTAGGAAGAGCATGAAATCCGAAGAGCTTGCTGATTTAATGATCAAGGAAGTTTGGAGGTTGCACGGCACTCCACGAACGGTAACATCTGATCGAGGAAATATCTTTATATCACGTATCACTAAAGATTTCCACAGAAGACTAGGCATCAAGACCCAATCCTCAACGGCGTATCATCCCCAAACAGATGGCCAATCAGAAATTACGAACAAAGTGGTTGAATTATATATCAGGCACTTCACCGCATACAAGCAAGATGACTGGCTGACGTTATTACCATTTGCTGAATTTTCGTATAACAACAGTGAACACTTGGCGATAGGCGTGTCCCCGTTCAAAGCTAATTATGGATTCAATGTCAACTTCACCGATGTTCCGTCCAGTGAACAATGTTTACCGCTGGTGGAACAAAGAATTGATCAAATCAAAAATGTTCAACGTGAATTAAAAGATGCAATGGGCCTAACTCAAGAATTAATGAAGATGCAACATGATAGCAAAGTTCGAGATACACCTAATTGGAAGAAAGGAGACAAGGTCTGGCTCAACAACAAGCACCTATCAACAACACGGCCCACAGCTAAGTTTGCCCATAGATGGGTAGGACCATTTGTTATTTCAGCGCGTGTGTCTAAAAATGCTTACAAGATTGTGTTACCTAAATCTATGAGTAAGGTACACCCTGTTTTTCACGTCAACCTATTAAGAAAATTCGAAGAAAGCAAGATACCAGGACATCACAAAATGCCGCCACCACCAATAGTTATGAATAATGAAGATGAATTTGAAATTAATGAAATACTTGATAAGAGAAAAAGAGGAAGAAAATTAGAGTATTTAATTAACTGGAAGGGATATGGTGAAGAACATGATTCATGGGAACCAGAAGAAGGTCTCAAGAATGCAAAACAATTAATGAATGATTTTAATAGAAAGTATCCAGATGCTGAAGTTAGATACAAAAGGACGAGGAGAAAGAAGTGAGGGTATGGCTTTTTCCCACTGGGTTTTTTAATGCCACCCGGGGATAGATGCTGGCCTGCAAGAGGAGGTAGAGACATAAAAGGGGGAGTGGTGTTATGACCTGTCACGCGTGTTACATGTAGAGTTCATACTAGTCTTGTCTCCCGTTGTGCATATTGCTTTTCCTCACTTAGCAATCTACTATATTCACGAGACCACCCTTAAAGCTTCTCTTGCATCTCCCTCTCGAAGCTACAACACAGCGCCGAACTGAGGTAAGTGAGATTCCGACCCCCAGAGTCGTGATGATATCGCGATACGCCATCCCACGAAGAGCCATCCGAACCACTACAAACTTAATGTCAGTACTGTAGAGGTTCGTTGGCATCTGTAATTAAACCAATTAAACATGTCTATCAGCAACGAGAAATGAAACTGACTTCATTAAAGGTTGATAAGGGATAGGGATGGTAGGTGAGATGTATTGAAAGCACATACCTTGATGAAATGATTCGAAGGATTTGAAACACGGTCTGGAATCAATTGAAGGAATCGATTTGATTATGAATCAAATCGTAATAAAGGAACACAGTGAATTCAAGGCTAATTAGCGGGAGAAGTCAGTCTTTCATTACATAGGCAAGATCAAAAGGAGAGAGATAAAAACTCACCGGATTGAATTATGAGAATCAGAACCAGATGAAAGGGGGAATTGAGCAAGAAACAAGAAAGAGTGAGAAAAGTGGAGGGAAAGGAAACCGGCTTCAAGATTGAACTGGAACTGGATGGAGGAAGGAACCTTCCTTCCATCAGCTGTCGTGATATGGTGATTGACAGAATGACCGATGGAAGCTCAAGCTACACGACAGGAGAGAGGGCAAATCGCAGGTATCTCACGGTCATACCGTGGGTTTTGACCGTCTTGAGTTAAATCCCGCCGCAACACAACCTGGGAAATTTGCCGATAATTTTTTTAGTAGCTGTAATTGATCTGATTTTGTGGCCAACCTTTTTGTTACGGCTAGAGCTATTAAGTACTTAAGCTAGCGGGCCTAAGTACTTAGGTGGCTAAGGTACTACGTTTATTAGCATAATACAGCCTAAATATATGCTTAGGTCCCAAAATGTGGGAATTTTAGTAAAAAAAAATAATCAACTTGAACCGTTCAACTTTTTTGATTTTTTTTCACATTTTCAGATTGAGCTCATTCAGCCCGTTCCATAAATAGAATTGAGTTAGGGTAACACCGGGTCGAAGTTGAAATTTCGATTTTGCGGGCAAGGGGTAGTTGGAATCTGGCTTTAGCGACTGTAGCACCAATGATCTATCTCCTAAACCTGCACCACAAGAGTACTTCATAAGGTGTAAGAATCTACCACTAAGAGCATCCGCACTCGTGCGGTAAGTCGGGTGCGGTAAGGTTAAATTTACCGCAAACGCGGGGTCTTTTCCACACCGGTGAAAAATTAGCCCCGCGGTAGTTAATTTTCGGTCATTTTGCGTTAGCGAATCGGTAAATTTACCAATTGGCTAACGCATGCGGTATCACACATCACGACTTGTTCCCGGCAACTCGACTCCAAAAACAAAACTCAACCAGACCTCCAACACCAAAGTCAACAACCAATATCTCCTTTTCACCACTCACACACGATGAATTCCAAGCCTTACAGTTGCATGAATCAACTCGAGAACGTTCGACACCGATCGATGTCTTCAATTGAAATAAGTCAATCAACCATCTTGAACTCGACTCCAAACCATTCAGATGAAAATGAAAGATGTCTAGATTCATATAGCTATGTAGAGGTCAATATTTAAGAAAATCAACATTAAAAGACCAATCATTGGAGGACTTTTAGGATCAAGTGATACAAATTAAAAATTGAAGTTTGGATTTTTATTTCCTAGTTTTAAATTCTTTAAATCTTTTACAAGATCATTATGTGTATTCAGACTCATTAAAAGCTTTCTCGATGTAGTAAAGCCTTTGTTTTTTAATTGGAATTCATGTATTAAGATCTGAACAAACTCATGTTAAATTTGTAATTTTAAATTAAGATCTATCGATCGAGTAGATGAACAGGATGATATCGGGTCTTCATGTGTAGATGGAGTATTAGTATCTTAGTGCAAAGAAGAGAACAGTGCCTCTATCACATGAAAACTGGCCATGAAAGCAGGTGATGTGTACTCAAAAAATTAAAACTTTACCTTACTGCACAACCGGTGCGGAGTACATGCACTATCTGTAAAGTTATAAAAGTTACAGCGCTGCTAATGCAAACGAGTGCGAAATTTGGTTGAGTTAAGTAACTTTTTACTTAATGTTGTGTTTGTTACCGCACGTGACCAAATTAACAACCGCAAACGAGTGCGGATGCTCTAAGCTGAGATAGAGAAGGAAAGAGAGTCCTCCATAGAAAAAGACAAACGCAAAAGGGAGGAGCAATAGATAAGACTCCTCCCAATACACTAATGTAAACCCATAGCTAACTCCATCCTGTAACCTATAACCCATACTTCTCCCTTACACCACCATGGGTAGCACAGCCGAACCCTTGCCAAATGCGCTCAGAGCTGATTTCCCGCAAATCCTCAATTCCAAAAGCACACCCAAAGTGGTCTACCTGCTAATAACACAGGTTATTCATCCCGATTGGCATTAGATATGGAGCTTATGCAGGCTCAAGCCTGCTCAAGGGTTGGAATCAAGGGTCGAAGCTGGCTTCAGACAAGCAACGCAATTCAACCTCAGGCCGCGTCATCAGTCATTTCCGGGCCTTTCCTACCAAATTGAAAACCACGGATTTGAGAAAAAAATCGAAAATAACAGCAGAAACATTCATTTTCAAAACATGTAAATAGCAGGATTCAAGAACTGTCAGGTAGCTCAACCGCCAACGACTGATGTGTTCTGTGCTGTTTGCCTCTCGAAACTTCAAGTTATCGCTGCCGGTGCACGGTTCTGGAGTCTGCGAACAAGCCTCAACACTACCCATCTAATCTTTTGTGGATAAGTAGAGCACACCGGCGGTAGAGCAACATCCGCTTTGGTATTTTGAGTCCTGAAACCTAACGTGGATGCAAGTGAAAGGCGAGGCCGTTTTCTCTGAGGTGAAAGTCCAAGGAAGAAGTGAAGGGTAGACTCGGAGGTATGCAAACAAGGCAAGGATACTCGAGGAGTAAGTGCGAGGTGTGCGAGGGCTGAAAAGTCAAAACATACATAAAGCTGACCAAATCATGAACTTTTGGAACTTTTGGAACTTGTGAATTCGCAGTGTATCACCACCTGAGACTCAGCACTCAACTTTCATCATCTCAACTCTCACCCAAACTAACCATCGTCTCTGAAATGACCCAGAGTCAAATATTCAAACGAGTTCCAATTTCAACTCGAAGCCAGTCTTCAATCGATCAACCTAATCAACTTCATCGATCAGCGCCTCCTACAACAGCTCCTCCTACCACGTCCAAACTCGATCCGACCTCTCAACCCAAGAGGAGAGGTAGATGGAAATGGTCAGATCTCTTTACCCCGTTCTATCTACCAAGATATGATGGCACTTATAATGGTCAGTGTTTTAATTGTCATCTTGGTTTAATTCCTCTGGAATGTTGTCTGACTTATCACTTCCTTTACAGTGGGAACTTTGACATTAGAATTACCCATCCCTGATTCGATCCCATCTCAAGCTGATAACCCACTTCGTCTCAAAGAGAATCCTAATGGTCCTGCCTTCGAGCTCAACACTTCACTCATGACAATTTATTATCCAACTCAAGCTACCAAAGCTGTATCATCGGGTCCGACTTGGATAACTGTCTCTCAAATCAAGGGCTACTTTAAATTCGCGGGTCTTGATTTGATCAAACGTATCATTGCTCTCCCACTCGTCTTCCTCGCCACTGCCCGAATCAAGTTGCCCACTCTTGGATCCGTCCCTATCGCCCCGTCACCTTCCAAACATAACCTCGTCCTCTTCTGTCATGGCTTGACCGGAAATCGGACATGCTACTCTCAATATTGTGGTCAGCTCGCAGCCAGAGGATATGTAGTGGCCGCGATTGAGCATCGAGACCGATCCGGCGCTCATACTGTCGTCAACTCTTCCACACGACCCACGCAGGTCAAATATGTGGACATGGACGATTTCACTGATGAGACTCGCTCAGAGAACTATTTCATAGCCCGCGCTTATCAACTCGAACTCCGGGTCATCGAGCTTCTAGCTGCTTCCGAATTGCTTTCTGGTTTCGCTAAACCTGCCGGCTGGAAGTCAATCAAATCATCAAATCTTCGCATCAAAGGTTCTGCTGGTTATACGGGGGATGATGGGATGAAATGGACTGATCAGGAGTGGGATCGCTTTGCGTCAATGGTTAATTGGGATACTGACGTCACCTTGGCTGGGCATAGTTTTGGGTCAGCGACAATGGTGAGTATAGCTCAGTCACTTTACTCTTCATGAGAACAAAGTTTAATTCTTTGTTCACGACTTTGTACTTTTTAAATTAAACCTTTATTAGTTTGCTGCATCACGATATCCTAAACCGCCTCAACATTGGTCAAAGCTTATTCTTCTTGATCCATGGCTTGAGACCATAGAATACTGGCCAAAATCTGCACCACCACTTGAATCTGGAGAATCCGTTGAATCACCCATCTTAGTGATCAACTCGCCAGGGTTCACGGTCTGGTCCAGTCATTTCCGACCCCTCTATGATTTTCTTGCAACCCGCGATCCTCGACATCTCACTTGGTTTTTTACAATTGGTGGAATCATACATTCATCATTTTCCGATCTTCCTATAATATTCGAAAGGTGACGCCACTACCATTCCAGTACATTCCACTAATTGATGTATCACTGACGATCCTCTACACTCCTAAAAGGCTCTGGCGCATGAAAGGACAGCTCAAAGTGGATTCCCAAACGGCTCTTGATATCATGGTCAGGGCTTCGATCGAATTCATGTCCAATACTACAGGTGAAGTCCTTGTACCTCAATCAGTGACCAAAGACGCAGATGGTGTTCGCGAAGCACCTGGTGGCTCTGTCATCATCCACGTTCAACCCAAGAACTAGGACATGCAGCATTGGACTTGGCTGATCGGCACAGGATACGCCCGGAAATTGTACAACACAATGTTTACTTGTTTCATTTTCATTCAGGAATAACTTATTGACTACATAGATAATTGAAGTTGCAGTACATGTTTGTAGATACACATAGATTATGATATGAATGTTCACTTTCAATACATAGATTTCTCCATCACGCAACTCGCTTGGACCGTGCAATGATGTAAAGAGCTGTCGCACTCATGCCCATCAGAAAACCGATTGTACCTGGACCCAGCCAATCTCCATTCCATTTTTTTGACATTGGGCACCTTCGCCATTCATCCACAAGTGGTTTCCTTCTCCACCAAGGTATCAACATCTGCTTAGTCAACACTTTCCTATCTTGCTTTTTCATCTTAGCAGGTTCATCATCACCCCAAGCAGCTTGTAAGATCATTTCAATTTGTACATCATCCAACTCTGCTAATTCATCCCAACTCCAACGATCACAAAGTTTAATCATCCAACTCATTCGATCTGAGCTTCGATCCTGACTACTAACTTTTTCTCTTAATCGAGACCGAATAGTATCTACATTCGCGATTGCCTTTTCGAGATTGTTAGGTAAGTTTTTTTCAATGATTTGTCTCAATTGTGAGGCTAGTCTAGGTGCTTTTCCATTGGTAGAGACCATGATTTGAACAGGTCCACGTTTGATGATCGAACCAAAATAAAAATCACATTGAGGAGGTACATCTGCTACGTTCTTGATCAGGACAAAACAAGATAAAGAATGTCAATGGCATCATCTACATTACATTCCTCGCGAGTAAGGTGTGATGAGTGGGAGATACTTACCACTAAAATTGAGCGTGCCCTACAAATTTCAGCAACCTGACGACCTACACTTTCATCATCTACAGCCGTCAAAACTACGAAAGCATCTTTCAGATCGTCTTCATCGGAATAATTTCGATCGAGATATTTCCATATCTTCCCTTCATCGACTGCTTCTGAAACTTCTTTAGAGAGACCTGTTCGAGGTGCGATGAGAGTGATACGAGCCTGAGATCGAAGTAAGTAAACTAGTCTAGAGGCTGCAACATTTCCACCACCGATAAGTGTGACTGGTCGATTGGTGAGTTGAAGAGCTATACAGAGTGGTAAACTTGGTTCGGTGGAAGACATTGATGACCTCAACTACTTTTCATCATTCGAAACTTGTTCATGAAAGAATTCAGAATTGAGAACTGTGACTCGTGAGATCGGGGATGGATGGGTGACAATTACCCGAACTGCGATATTCTAGAACAAGCGGTCCCAGACCAAGCTGGATTCGACTCCAATGCTATTTTCTCAACTCTCGATCAATCCATCGCATCGTTTTAGATATCAAATGACTCAGGATTAGTAATCGAATTCTAGTATCCCTTCATGATGATGCGACTGTCTCTCACCAGAGCATACGGGTCAATCCGGCGAGTGTCCAATGGAGTCAGTTTCGTAATCTATTTGCCGATGAGAGAAAGCTTTCAAGTAACCACGTTGGAGGCTTCCTTTGACATTATTACAGAACCTTTCAGCTACCCATCGTCCTCCTAGAACAAAGGTGTCCATCTACCTCAGTGGTCAGTAAACGCAAGCCATCAATGGGCCTTCGATAAATTGCCAACAATCCTGATGCATATGCGATTCTGCAGGCCTGTATCCAATACGACTCAGTCCACTTGACCCGCGTCAATATCTCTTTCGCCGTGACCAAGAAGTTGAGCGGATTCTTATCAAATGAACATGGATACTCATCTCATATGAACATCATATGAACATGTAGATTTTGAGCAATCAGGTGCAACGCCTAGAGTTGCCTGTGTTGCGCATCCATCCACGGTACACTGATGGTGGCGCGATTGCCGAGATCGAGGTGGAGGACAAAAGAGCTTTTGAAGATCTTTTCAAAAAGACGAAAGAAACTTGGACCGGGATCGTGAAGCCTGTTTGGTGGATGCGATGGGCTCGCCGCGAAGTTTATCCTGTAAAGGTATGCTTATCTTATCACTCCCATCGTCCTTGGCACAATGATATCTTTGAGTGTAGCTTCTTGATGATTTCATGTCATATTCGAATCATAGGGCGTGCCTTGGCTTGAGGTAAATTTGGTTTTCCTTTGGCTCTTTTCCTGATACCATAAGAGGTTCAAGATTACATTCTACGCACAATTTAAAATTTGGTTCTACACGATACGATGTTTACCTTCTATGCATGAAGTAGGACATGGATCAATTTCCAAGCCGCACCATTCAAGTCGAGGTTGAAGGAACAGAGAAATTTACACAAGAATCACTTTGGCATCTGATTCGTCCAGTCAGTCTGTTTGCTCTACCCGCATTTCTGGACCATCATTGTCATTCATCTCATCACCTCAACCCGGAAAAATTATTTCGCTACATTTTTATGGAATACAGTTTGGAAGGATCAAGTCAATCGAGCTTTCTACTGCCAAAGAACCCTCGCTAAAAGTGGCGCGAGTCACTTTGGAAAGTGTAAGAGCAGCAACGGTGGTACGTAACTGTCTGCATGGTTATCGAACTCAAGAAGGTACTTCTCTAAGGGTATCATATGTGTCAGTCAAAGAACTCCAGAATTCCTCATTTGTCTTCGCTCACTCAATCTGTCTTGACATTAACAGTCCCAGTATCAAAGCGCATGCCGTTAGGAGCTGGCTCAGCTCTCATCCCAAGATAGTCTTACCAGTGCTCGTACTTTTGCTGGGAGGCGTGAGCTACGCCTTCTTTGATCCAATTCGGACTTTTTTCATCAAATCCCACATGTCAGTTTGACGACTTTGGGATGTATACGTATGGATACACATGATGTTGATGTTAAACCTGGTTTTGTTGCATCTGTATAGCTCAGGAGCTCTGGATGTTCACCAATAGTCTGTCTCCTTTTACCGTTTCCCCCAGTTATCTTCTCTGTCTGACGAGGATTCTGTTTCTAGCCAAATCGTGAATTGGCTTGAAAAAGAGACACGCACCCGGTTCTCGTTCTTCACGCCAGCTAACGAAGGTCAATCTGAAGACGCGAGCGGGGCAAGTGTAGTCGAGGTGGAGAGGAACGAAGCATTGGACAAATTGAGAGGATGGATATCAGGCTTGCCAGGTTCGTCTTTGCTGTTTATAATAAATTCATAAACGATATTCAAACGTGATTTGAATGTTCTTGTAGAGACCTTTGTGGTTATCAGCGGACCAAAAGGGAGCGGAAAGGGTGCACTGGTGGAAGAGCTGATTCGCCCTCGAAAGTAAGTTATTTGAAGCGCTGATGATGTGGTTGAATTCAGCAGATACGCCTGCCTTGATCTTGCTGACACTACGCCACTAGGAATGTGTTGGTCATCGATTGTGAGAAGGTTTGTAAGGATGCTTCGAGTGAAAGAAGACGTGTAGCAGTCAGTAAGATTTTGTTTACATTCACACAATATCACTTTGACTGACTCTTGCGAATTTTAGAATTTGGCAAAGGAAGTGGGATACTTTCCATATTTTACTTTCCTTGGATCTATCAATCATCTTATTGACTTAGGATCAGTAGGACTGATCGGACAAAAAGCTGGATTTGAAAGCTCCAGTGATACAGAGATTAGACAAGTAAGTATAGACGACCAAAGCATATGATGGAAGCCAACACGGCAGAGAGTCGCTAAAACTTGTAGAAGCGAGGTAAAAAAATGGAGCTGATAGTTATCATCTTGTGTCAATACAATGCAGATCTTAGATTTGGTCGAGGTGGCACTTGCAAAAGTCTCAGAGGAAGTGTCGAAACAGATCAAGACTACGCTAAATACTCCTCCAGGTGATAGTGCAGAAGTGTAAGTGAGCTTGATCTCTGTGTCTCGATTCTCGAAGTAACATTGAATGCGTCCTGATTGTCCTTCAACAGATCTGTACAAGAGAAAACCGATTTTGCAACGAGGACAGCCGAGCTGCATCGAGGGTACAGTAATGTACCGGTGGTGGTCTTGAAAGGGTTGGTACCACTTGTATCTTGACGCAGTTACAACATTCATTCCTCTACCTCAAATGCAATCTCTCTGGTAGGAGGATTAAGCAAAGGTTACTGACGTCCAAATTTGTAGATTTTGCACCGGACAAGCCAACAATGATGATTACTTATGGGATGGTCTAGCTGAATGGGCGAGTCGCTTGACGGAGAAAAAGGTATGTGCTGCCTTGTTTCTCCAATACAGCTCGAGCTCGACGCATTGACGACTGACTAGGTCGGCAAACGCAATATCTTTGACTAACTTGACAGATTGCACATGTGGTTTTCACGTCCGAAAATGTCGGGGTTGGAAAGCCGCTTAGCAAAGGTAAGCTTATATACTATTTGAAGTGGTCGGGATAGTATGAAATTTTAATCCGCGGTTCTACATGCACACTTAGCGCTTTCAAGTCGTCCGATGAACTTGATACATTTAACCGATGCAAATCCTGATGTGCGTATTGAATCAACTATGAATTCGACCTTAAAACCTCGAGCGTCATCCATGTCTGACACTTTTTGATGGGAACTCGTGATCAAAGAGCGCACTGCAATATATTGCGCGACAGATGGCTCGGCCTGATGATCGCGCAATGATTCTTAATCCGATCAATGGTCCATGTATAGCCAAGCTAGGCGGAAGATTGACCGAGTTGGACAAACTCATCGAGAAGATCAAAGCCGGGGTTCAACTGGAGGTTGCAGTGGAGGAGATTGTGATGCGATCCGTGATGGAGATCAAGAAAAAAATCACAATAGATGGTGAAAATGGTGATGGTGGGAAATGGAATAGGACTCAAGTTTGGGGGCTGATTCGCGCCTTGGATATGCAGGATGAGGTTAGCTAGGCTTGACCTTTTTATCTGCTGAGATGATCCATTGTGAAACTCGATCCTGACCCACTCTTCGATATTTTACTCTCGGTGATCACAATGCTTTGCTTTTGGTAGTTGATGTGGCATGCTACGGTGGTGGACCTCTTTGACGGGGATGAGAGCGGTCTTTATGCGTTGGAGGATGCCAATTTGATCACCATTGTACATCAAGATCGTCAGTATTTTTTTCATTTTCTATAGTATTTAGAAATCCCACAACAGTCACAACTAACTTGAATCTATGGGGCTTTGCTCTGTACGATCAGTCGGAGGATCAGTCATCCGGATCGGAAAACCAATCTACCGCACTGCCATCCGACGAATCTTGGAAGAAGATGTGGCCTTTACAGCTTACCAGGATCGAATAGCATCAATGAAGAAGTTAAAGAAAGCTGAAGAGGAGATCAAACAGAAGATCGGGGAACTGGTGGAATTAGCAAAATTGTTTCCAATCATCGGAACGATTGGTTCTAGTTCTAATTGGAGCCTGGGATCATCTAGCGGGAAACTTCCAGATGAAATCAAGTGGAAGGTTGAAAAGACGTTGAAGAAGTTAAAGACCTTGCAAGGTCAGGTTGATCAACTGGAGAAATCAGTGGAACTGGCGAAAAAAGGTCTGGCGAAGTGATTGAAGGGACTTGACAGCCTACCATTATATTTATCCCACGTGTTAATACTCAGTCACTGTTATAACATCTTTCATCGTCATTATGGGGAAGTATGAAGTTTCCCACATGGCTGACTGCTAGCGTTTTGTAGAAGGGAATTGCCTGCCGTCTCCAGTCTTCTACAACGGTCCCATATCAATCATTGAACAGAGCCGATGTCTCGAGTATGTGTGAATCGAAGACATCAAAACGATATACCGCGCCCGCCAGAGCTGCACAATAATTGTGCAAGCTGATCCAGCCTGGCCCGATGTGGCTTTTGAGCATCAATGTGAATGCAATGCTTTCCAGCTTCAGACTCTTTGATTGATACATGTATATTTTTGTGCAGTTATGACCTAAAGAATTCTCTCATATCAAAATCCTGCTATAGGGACAAACATGTCAGTCGAATTGCAATATGCTACACTAGAGCAACCGAGATCATTTCAAGTGCGGCTGCGAATGAACCACGCCTTTTCGTGATTAATGATATATTTGTACCACGGGATCAGGTCACAACCATACACATTCAAACTTCTCCAAGTTATCAGGTAAACGTGCCAGTCGTGGACTGACATGGTCCCATAGTCGGATTTAGGACAAAGGTCCGCAAGTGAGTTGCCAATTGTGGATGTGGATGTGGATGGAGGGTTCCTGTGTGCTCCAGCCTCCATCCATTCCCATCCAGAGACAGAGAAATGGCTTAAGATGCCTATGCGCATGTTATGTTTATGGGGGAATGAAATTCTAGTATTTATTTAGCACGTGCTGCTAAACAAAAGATCTCGCGGCGGAAAGGCCATCTTACAGCTTTTGTGACATCGAAAGATACGTTCCCTATCCCGAATGAAACATCAGTGCTTCAACAAATCACATTGTGCCGTATCACTTGTTTCGTCGTTCCTGGGGTCACGTCTTTAAGCTTGAAACACTAAAAAAATCCACCACCATCTGTTCGGCATGTTGTACATTCTTTGTTTCCTTCGCGCAATCTTGACGAGTACGCTTTGGGTCCGGTGGGAGGGACAAATTTGCTATTGACGTCGAATGAGAACTACAGATCAGCGGGACTCAATGTCGCAAGGTTGAGTACTATCGAATTACCACTCTTCTCGTCTAGCCTAGAAGTCAAACTCCACTTGGACGCATAGTTCGACTGCAATATCAACTGGAGATGATCACATCTTGGGTCGTTCCTACGTTTATCTTGGTTGTTGCGCAGGCTTCCCTTCACACTGCACAAGGGCAAGTTGGTTTGAGGCACCCAATCCTTCAACGACGCGTTCTTTTGGCGTCGGATCAAGGCTTCAAAGAAATCTCGAATGGCTTACTCGGAGCAAATACTCTTACATCACATGAAGTTGGAACCGGGGATGCAGTTTCGACTTTGATGGCCTCCTCACCCACAAGGACTCTTCACTCTTCACGACTGGATTCCAACACGCGCCAACCAGCAGCTCAGGTCATCAGCAAGCCCATCAGCGACGAGTCAATAGCTACCTCGGAACAACTGACCAAGTCCATGGGCCCACCTGAAGCGATCTCACAAGACACTCAGAACTCACAGGTCCGACACAGGCAGCCTTTCTACCACGATGACATAGATATCATCCAGTCTGATGCACCTTCCGGGCGAGGATCTGCATCGCCGTCCCGAGACGCTGTGATTCAAGAGATTCCTTCGAAAAACACGAAGCTCGATCAAGATATCAACCCTTGCATATCTTCTACCTCGTCAGGATGTCTTCATCAACTCGGCTCTCATGAAATTGATGACCCGGAAACTCCTGAACACTCGCTCATACAACACAAGGACGAGAAGAAACAAGATTGGAAAACATTAGAAGCTGATAGGCTTGATAAGTCACATACACCACCAGTAGGATTATCATGGACAAGACGTGTCCGAGAATCATATACATCATCGGTTGAAATCCTACGAGCCGCTTGGCATTCAGACTCTCAACACGAATATATGATTGGAAAGCCTATCTTAAGAGGTGGAAAAAAGATTGTTTGGGTAATGGGAAGATCGGCTCGTGGAGTAGTAGTTCTTGGGGAAAAGGGAGTGACTCTAGTGTATAAAGGTGCTAAAGCAACTGCGATTGTCGCGCGGGCAAGTGTGATTCTCACTGCTGTTGGGGCTTATAAAGTGACCTTGTTCACCTTGACTTTGGCACGCGATCTGGTGATCATCACATCTATAACAACTGTCCTGGTAGCCGGTTCTCTTCTTTATGCGGTTTGGCTCACCGTAAGCGGGACTGTTTCATTGATTTGGCTTGGAGGAAAAGCTGCGGTTGAGAGTTCGGCGGCTTTGTTTTCAAAGAATGGACACTTTCGTGGGATCCAAGACGTCGTAGCACATAAAAAAATTGTTTGACCACCTAAGCGCATTTAGTCTTCGACTATGGACGTCTTTTCATACACATCTGGTATGTCTCTATCCGTTAATCTTCTGTTTCTCGAGGATTCTCTGGCATCATAATTTATTCTGATTTCCTGACAAAATTATGCTCTCCTTGATTGCCTACTGAATTTTAGTCACATTTCTTGGGTTGCAATTTTGCTCGGATCAAATATGGTTGAGCAAAGCTACACAGAAATCATTACATTCCTGACCGTGAAATTTTGTTGTTTCTTTCGTAAAATAACTTGGACGAGATTTTTTTAAAAACTTTTGATTTACATACTTAAGCAATACCACATTTACATACATAAGCGATCTTATTTGGTATTTTCTTGAGGGCAAGAGAAGCTAGCCTCCATAGAACCTTGCCACTTCAGCTTCTAAAACCTGTTAAGCAGATAATAGGCTTGTCTTTAAGTGGTGAGTGAGGACAGGTACGATTTACCAGATCGCAACCAGGAATTGAGTCACTTTTTAATCCTATCTGCTGTCGATATTTCTCGAAACAATCCTGCTCGTATCACTGATCGTCCTTTGGTCGATTTCTATCACTGGTTTTAACAAACGCACCTTTTTCGCGGAGGGTGTGCGGCGCGTTTATTTGTCCAGGGCGTGCTGGGCTACGCATTGTGACATTTTAGTGTGCAATGTGCATGATGTTACAGCTTACAGTGTGTGTGTGTTGTAACTTGTAAATATGTAAATCGAAATCAGGATGTTCCTCAACAGTCTCATCAAGTTTTCTTTCCAAAAATTATCTTGAACCATCAATCCATCAAATTAACATCAACAACATCATCGTCACCCGTTATAACCAACCAACATGCCTCGAGTCGCTTACTACTTTGATGGTCTGTCTCTTTCTTTTTCTCAGATGTTCCTAACCCGGATTTCTTACACCATCTGAACTGATTCTTTCACCTGGGCTTTTCTTTAGATGACATCGGAGCCTATGCATTCGCGGTTAGTCTTCATTCATTGTCAATCACTTGACTATAATCATGCGCTTATCCTTCATTTCTTCCATTTGTCATTGGGCCCGTTAGCCACATCATCCAATGAAACCACACCGAATCAAAATGGCTCATAGCCTAGTCTTGAATGCTGGATTACACCAGAAGATGGACGTCCTGGTAAGGCTTAATGGCTTCTATCTTTTTTATTTTCAAGGATTACACGTTCTTACCTGCTTTTTGTTCCCAGACTGCAAAACGAGCAAGCAAAGAGGAAATGACGAAATTCCATACGGATGAATATATTAGTCATATCGCTTCGCTAAACCTTGATGACCCTGAGATGCTAGCTTCGGGCCGCGACAAGAGTGGTGACAATAGATGTGAGGACTCGTTTTTATGCCTTAGTTGGCGTTATAGCCCCCACAGCAACTGATTATCAACGATGTACTTTCCGTTTAGTCTTGGCCGGAGACGATTGTCCTGGATTCGAAGGATTGTTCGAATTCTGTTCAATCTCGGCTGGTGGATCAATTGGTTTGCGTCATTAATTTCCATCGATTTGAAAACATCACAGACCTGACACTGTCTCAACCCACCTAGCTGCCGCCAAAAGAATCAACTCCGGACAGGCTGATATAGCTATCAACTGGGCCGGTGGACTGCACCACGCAAAGAAGCGTGAAGCCAGTGGGTTTTGTTATGTCAATGATATAGTTTTGTCAATTCTGGAATTGCTCCGGTCAGTCTTCTCTCGCCCAACGACTTTTGAGATTGCTCCTCCCTAAATATTGACTCCCTTCAGATTCCACACGAGAGTTTTATATATCGACATTGATATACACCATGGTGATGGTGTAGAAGAGGCATTCTACACGACCGATCGAGTCTTAACTTGCTCCTTTCACAAGTTTGGTGACTTTTTCCCCGGAACGGGTCACGTAGGCGATCTTGGAATTGGTAAAGGTAATGGCTATGCCGTCAACGTTCCATTGAAGACTGGGATCAACGACGAGACCTACCGGAGCATATTTCAGCCGGTACGTTCTCGCTTCTTTGTCATCTCCTAGCAGTCTAACCTCCGGGAGCCAATCTAAGACATCTCTCGGCTCCTGAATTTATGCAGGTCATCAATCATATAATGGCCTGGTATCAGCCTGGTGCCGTTGTTCTACAATGCGGTGCTGATTCGCTTGCTGAAGATAAATTGGGCAGTTTCAATCTGTCAATGAATGGTCAGTATCTGTCCGTTCGTGTCGCTTGCTTCTGCTGAACGCTGAAATTGATATGATCGAATCACCATATACACTCACAGGTCATGCTGATTGTGTTCGACACGTCAAATCTTTCGGAGTTCCTCTCATCTTACTCGGTGGTGGAGGCTATACCATTCGAAATGTCGCCCGGACTTGGGCCTATGAGACTTCGGTCTGTTTAGGTCCATCTGAAGAGATGAACCCGGCCGAACTACCCTACAACGAATATATGGAGTATTTCGGCCCGACTTTCAAACTGGACGTCCCGTCGAATAATATGGACAACCAGAATTCAAGGGAGTACTTGAACAACATCTTGTGAGTGATGATGCGTGTCAAACTGATCAATCTTTCACTAAACTTATGTATTGTTTTTCGTAGGGCTCAAGTTGTAGACAATCTACGCAACATGCCATTTGCACCAAGTGTTCATCAGCGACCCCTCTCATGCATGCCTGACACCATCGAAGATTCCGAAGACTCAGATGCCCTCGATTCGGCTGAACCCCATGCCATATCTGCTTCGTCTTCAAACAATCAATGCGACCCTGCTCCAGTAGAGCCACCACCACCGCCTCAGGTACCGCAGCCCAGTAGAGTCGGTAGGCCGTCAAGGCTCAAGCCAGCCACTAGCAGGATTTCCCCAAGATTGACCGAGTCTTCGGAAACAAATGGGTCTGGCGGAACGTCGAAAGAAGGATGTGACAGTCACAATAGCAACTCCGGTGAACGGCCAAAACGAACATTCTTCCGCAACCAAGCTTTTGATCGAACTGTTGAAACAATAGCCAACAGTCGAAAACGTAAAGTTTACTCTGCTGACTCGCTGCTCAAGGGGGATATGGGACAAACTGAGAGCTCCTCTCAATCCACGAGCAATAACTCCAGCGTGGACTCTCCACCCAACGTCACTGACTCTTCCGGACCGTTCCGGTTACCGCAATTTTATACACCTAGTGGGATCCAAGGTCAACAGACGTTATCAAATGGTGGATTTGATCTCTTGAGTCAGGGATGTGGCTATCCTGATCAATGGCCAGATGAGATGACAGGCCTGATACGTCCTAAGGAGATTGTAATGAGTTGGGATTTGAATCATTGCTTCTAATTCTTGTAAACATGGATCATGTAACTATTTGTTTAATTATTTGCACTCTTGATCATCAAACTCTTTCACTTTCATACCTCGTTGTGTTTTTTTTGTAATGCATTACCAAAAATTTGTATCATAGGTTTTTATATCTTGTTTTGGATCTCTAATTGGAAATTTCTGGCTGGATACATCCAGCCCCTCTTGTTCAGATGCGCCTATGACTCTTTACTTCACTGTATTACAAAATTTTGTGGGATTTCTGTTGGAAAGTCTTGCAAATAACAACAAACCCAGGTAGACCACGGTTTGAGCACAATGCAAACATTTGCAGAACCGATCTTTGCTTTGTTTTGATCTGTTCTCAAACCCATGGATTTTACACAGAATATGACTATACCACATCCCTCGTCCATCATGATTGGCAAAATGTTTCATATTCACTTTTAGACAACACAACACACCAAGGAGGGTATTCAATTCTTGATCATATCCAATCGCCAAGCAATTCAGGTGAAAAATTCTCGTCGGACAGTAGCTCGACCCTGACAGCTCCATATTATATTTTTGTTTCGTTAAAATCATAAAAACGTACTGACATTCGGATCAAAAATGATAAAATCAAGAAACGAAAAATGCTAGAGAAATGCACAACTAAACACAAAGTCCTCTTAAGATAGGGAAGAAAATCAAAGACATATGGTGGTACACATCATAAATTAGTGACTCAGTTTATCGCATGATCGATCGCACACAAGTGTAAGGATATATATAATTAACAAAGTAGCTCTATTGAGATTCGAGTGGTTGGTTTGCGTCAATCACTTGGGGGAAACTGTCAATGTATGATCAAGGACTGGTATTGAAGATTCGATCGGATGATTGGTTCAAGACGGTGGCACAACTCTTCCCTTTCTAGCGTAATGACCTGCTCGAATACTGTGCAAAAAGCACGCGAATGAACAATCCAATCAAGGTTAGGAAAATGAAGATCTTCTTTTACTTACGGCTTCTGAAAGGTAATCTTCAACCAGTTTATGATTTTAGACCACCATCTTCGCACAGCAGACGTGATTGGCCAAGCGCGCGTCGCTTGTTGTTGATCCGATAGGCTTCTACTCTTTGCACTTGAATCGATCGGAGAAGTGGGGTTCATATCTGTTCTAGAGTCTTTCAATTCGAGAGTCTTCAAGCGTTGTAACATGGTAGGAGGGTTTCCATTGGCAGACGGATCAGGGTATAACATTTCTATATGTGGCAATTCCGCGTGAGGTTTGATGTTCACTTCAGCTGATGATGGAATCTCCGAGTCTGGATGAATTTGAACAGGCGTCGAGGGCGTGTCCATCTCTTGGTGTGTGTGACTGGGTGATACTGGAATATGCGGCTCTGAAATCGTTGATGTCGGCAAGGGTTCTTGATTTTCACTGATCTTTTTCTCGGGTTCTTCAATTACAGGCTTGGGGTTTTCTTCTGCCTCATCAAGTGCGTCAAGATCCTTGGCGGATTCGATCTTCTTCTGAAGTTCTGTTGAAGGAGCTTTGTAGAGATATGAAGTCGATTCCAATTAAAAGGTGTCATATCCAGTTCAGAGAATGAGACCAAAACACTTACATTGTTCATCGTGGTGGGCAAAGCTGATGGAGTCATCATGGACTGGGGGTTCAGTGTGAGCCAATGTATTTTGTTCCGAATCCAAAGTGTCTTCTGACTTGGTTTGAACCGGCAATGGGTGAACGAATTCTTCCTCACTGGCTGATGATGGAGCGTGCGTTTCCTGAATGTTCTCATTCACCAAAGAAGGTGACGGATTGTGATTCTCATTGAATAGGTTTTTTAGATCCTTGATAACAGGGTCAAATTTTATCTTGTGCTCCGTTTCGGCTGATGTATCTTGAGGCCTTGCGGATTCAGTGCTCTGCTGAGATTCTGTTGAAGGAACTTAAAAATACGGAGGGGGGACATTAAAAAGGAGGCTTATTTTTAGGTCACATAAGGAGAATGACTATCTTACCTTGTTCATCAGGGCGCAGAGGGATCATGGCATCCGGATGCATTGAGGCCTTGTCAGATTGTTGATCTGTCTTGCTGACAGATAATGGAGTTTTCGTTTCCGGGATTTCATCATTCATCGATGAAGATGATGGATTGTGATTTTCGCTGAATCTACTTGCAAGTTCCTCAATAACAGGCTTAAGTTTTTCCCTGTGCTCTGTCTCGAATTTAGCTTCATGTTTTGAGGATTCGGCACTCCCCTGAGAATCTATTGAAGGAGCTTTGAAAAAAGACGCAGGCGAGTCTATTCAAAAGGGCTCATTCGCTATGTCAGAGAATCAAGATAAAACCCTTACTTTGTTCATCAGGATGGAGAGGTCTCATAGACTCGGCATGGATTTGAGGTTCAGTCAGGTCCAATGAATTTTCTCCAGATTCCAAAGTCTTCAGCAAGCGTAATTTTTCTTGTTTGAGAGTGTCCTGATGTATCGATGATGGTGGTGCTTCGAGTTGTGCAACGAGGGGCGCAAATTCTATCCTTTGCGGTCTCTTGCTCTCCATCCCATCGGAGTGAGATTTTCGTTCTGGGAAGCTTGATACAACACTCCTCTGAAGTTCTGTTGTAGGAAATTTGATCAAATACAAAGGGAAATATATATCAGAGGGTTGCATTATTTCCAGATCAGAGAAGAAAATCGACATCTCACGTTGTTCGTCAGGTGGAAGAGAACTCATGGAACTGGAATGCAATTCAGCCTCAGTGAGGGCCAGTACACCTTGTTTAGAATCTAGATTCTCAAGAAAGCGCAATCTTGGTTCTTGCATCGCTTCCCCTTGTTTGACTCGGCGGCTAATAGTATCCGACCAGTAACGAATCAAACTTTTCACATTTACCTGTTGGGAGATGCTTGTTCCCGTCTCAGCTTCAGCATAGAATGCCTTGATGGCCAATCTTTCATCGGGTGAAGTGCTGGAGAGTAGATGACTAAGCGTCACACTTTTACCAATCTCGTCAAAGTGTAGAGTCCATGAGCCCTCCATCTTCTGTAACTCAGCACCTATACGTCCGATTATCTGCGGGTTTAAGCGCATGGTGAACCACTCTAAGGCGAGGCGATCAGACCACCAGTCCTTTCCGAACTTCTGCGCTTGCAAGTCAACCTTGACAGATGTCATTAGCTCTTGCCGGCTACCGAGTAAAGTCTCAAGTCGCTTGTTGGCGATCTCCTCGCTCGACTTCAACGTGAAAGTGAATTTTATCGGAGGGATGTCATAGATGCTATGTTCTCCAAGCTCCCCGGTTTCAGTCACCTTTGATGCATATGATCGGGTGATCGAAAGTAGCTTAGTGATTCGTTGTGGTCGGTCTTGAAGAGTCGAAAGATCGAAATCTGGGATCCAGAGTGAAAGCTGATCTCCCCATGCGAGTCTTTCTTCGAGCTCAAAAAGTGGATCAAGAGAGGTCTCGAGAGTTCCCTGTTGCCACCAGTATGTCGTTGGGTGATGATCACGAAGGCGAGCCAAGACGTTTTGATAGCGCCGGTAGCCACGGTTCAAGATATCCGCCTTCTTCCAACGCTTCAAAACTTCAATCAAAGTAGGCCAGCCTTGATTGACTCTAGAGAAAGTTGACTCCAGCTCATTGGAAAGATGTACGGTATCGATGGTCAGAGGCGGGAATTGACCAGATAAGCCGAGAAACTCTACCGAGGTCTTGATCCACTTCATATCTAATTTCACGTCAGACCAATGCAGTTTATTTTGAAAATCAACCAAATTTGTAAACAAAGACTCATATAAAAGTCTCAATTGAGCTCTAGATGATGTAGATGGATTTAATCTGGGTAGCTGCCCGTTCTGTACTACTTCCTTGTAATGTTTCAAAATACGAGTCCTAATCAGAGGGATATATCGAGTCAGTTGCGTTTTTCTGTGCTATCAAAATGAGAAATCAACTGACGTTTGAGCGACCACTTCCTCTTCTTCTGCTTCATCAGTCAATTGAAGAGCATTTTCATACCAATTCTTCATACGTAACACCTCGTCTTTTGGCAATTCGTCAAGCGCCGACTCAGGGATCCGCTCAACTGCGTAATTGAGTTGCCTCTGTCTCAACTTGATACGACGATTCGGTGTTAGTGGAATGCCTGAGCCACGAGCCATTTGTTGGAGAGACAAGAATTCTGGGTCGGTTTCCGCGGATTCCTCGATCAAGATTCCAAAGCTATCCATGAGGTGTGGATTCAGGCCTTGCAAGTACCATTCGAGGATGAGTGTATTTGTTGACCACTTGATACCTTCTTGACTTTCTTTCATTGGCGTGCGAATAGACTGCGTACGTGTTGTAGGGTCCCCGAGAAGCTGATTGACTCGAGCTTCGGACAGTTCTACTCCCTCAGAATTAAAGAAGTCGAATTTCATAGGTTGAATCCCATGAAACGACATTATATACGATTCATCACGTGTTCGCTTCCAGTAGTAATGTCTAGAGATCGAAAGTAGCGTATCGATCGCGTCTCCATTTCGGGCGGGATCCAAGGCTTTATCATGAAGAGCAAGTGCATCACCCCATGAGAAAATTAAATCGCATTCAGTGACCGGATCGAATGAGGTGACAATCTTTCCATCTTTCCACCATTGTGGTAACCTATGATTGCCCAGTCGTTCACTGATGGCTTCATATAACGCTCGACTCTCCGTCAAATGATCTACAGGCACCACTGTTGCAAAAGCATTATGGATATTTTGCCAGCCTGATGGGATGCTTGCAAGAGCCGATTCTAATGCAGAGAGACGTTCTGCGGCATCGGATTGCCAGAAGGGAAACTTACCCATCAAACCATGGAATCTAGCTGCTTCCAAGAGCAGGCGGCCTTCGATGGTTTGTTTACTTGATTTGAAAAGAGAGCGACTCCATGATTCGATCATAGCGTTTTCGAGAAGGTCATCATATTTGAGACTTTGACCGTTGGTATGCTGAGTGAGTTGTTTGGGTTCGTGAAGGAGTGGCCCTGAGACTGGCGAGGTTGGCTGAAAGTGATCAAGTCGAACCAGGTTAGAAGGTCTTGTGACTTCAGCCTTGTCCTTGATCACTTGCACTCCCTGAATGATATCGTATACGTTGGTTTCCTCTGGTGAGCGACGAACGATAGAAGCAGCAAAGGCTTGGAATGAGATTGTTGCAAGCAGATGGACGAGAATCATTGAAGAAAGCCGTCTATAACCGCGAAGACTGTGAGGATACCGCTCCATTGCAGCCGGGAGGTAGAGTTTGTTCGGAGAAATTGATTTGATCTGAGCAGTCAGGGAATGGGTCAACCTCAACTAGACGCGCCGAACGCGAACGCTTTCCAAAAGACTTTCCCCTCATCAGTTTGTTTGTTTCGTTTCCGAATATCATGACGAAACTTCTCGTAGGTCTCATAGGACTGATCCGTCCTGAAATCCTAGTTCATCTTACACTTGAAACTCAAGTGATGATAGTTGGTCTATATAGAAAATCTTATGGTCTAAACACAATAAGGAAATCAGTCACAGGGAAAATTCCTTTCTGGAGAAGTTGGTTTCAAATCTCGAAACATGTGATGCTAAAACGAGGAAGCTGAAGAAGATGTCCAAAAGCCAGTTCGGAGTACCCCTTTGGGGTACGCTTCTAACATGGCAAATCTGTGACAAATTCATGATGAGTTTTTTTTTCGAATAGGACGATTATGAAGCGTGCTTCAGCCTTCAGGTGCAAACAATGAAATCATTGGCTTCTTGAATGACGAGTCACGACCCACTGGTCCGACTCACATCTAAAAATTTGGCCGAGTCACCATAGCCGGTCTTGATATTACCCGTTCAGCACGGCCCGTGGTGTCTGACTCAGCCCGGATCAAGCTGTGACATGTGATCATCAGAAACTGAATCTGTGCATCATCTGATCCAAAAACCAACACTGTCACCACCAAATCTTAGAGTCAAGGTTGAGTAAATCTCATCTTTAGCCCCATAATCTGTTCCAGTTTATCATCCAGTTTTAGCATAGGTTTTTTGTTTTTTTGTTTTTTGTTTTCATCGCTGTCTCTCAACATGAATTTCACTGATGATAGTAAAGATCAGTTTATTTTCAAACCATAAACTCATAAGTTCAACTGAGCATGTGTCTTTGGGATTTCACATTTTTTTTTCCAAATTTTAGGAATCTTTCAGATATCTTCTCTTTTGAACCATTTTGTATTTTTACTGAGATTTACTGATTTTCTAAGTAGAATGTGTCTGGTTGTATGCTAATAGTTAGGATTGTATATGGAAATCAACCTGATAATTTTCACTCAGAAAGAAGTATGGGAAGAGTCAGAATAAGGGAAGTGATTTTAGTGAAGGTCTTGTAGAGTGAAGATTGGTTGATGAGTATGTAGGATATGTTATGGTATTTATCAGGTTAGGTTTCACAGAATGAGATGAATTGAATCTGATTCAGTAGAAGTTCAAGAATCACTCTCACTCTCATTCTCATTCTCATTCTCATTCTCATTCTCACTCGACACTTCAAATCGAAACAGAAACAGAAATCAGAAACAGAAACAGAAACCAGAAATCAGAAAAGAAACATGACTTGATCAGAAAATCAGATCGATCAACCAATCAAATCATAATCTAATCATTCTCATTCTTAAAAACCATCAAGTATCATGAATCAATTCATCTTCTCAACTTCACCTTCATCCATCACTCCACCACAGTCAACAACTTCAACAACAACAACAACAACTACTACTACTTCAACTTCAACCACTTCAAATTATCATCAAAACAATCAAAGACATTCGAGAAAATCAAGTGTATCGATCAGTCCTCCATTCACTCCTATCATTCATACTTCATCATCTCATCATCATCAAAATCAAAATCAACATCACCATCAACTCCAACATCATCATAATAACAATCGATCACCATCCAATTCAAATTTAATCGTACCAAACAAATCAATCAATCCATCATCTAATCATCAATTAACCTCTTCTTCATCCTCATCAGTCGCTTCTTCAACTCCTTCAACTTCTTCTTCTTCATCAACTACCACTTCTCATCATTCTTCTTCACACTCAAACTCATCTTCAATCACTCCTTTACCAACCCGACCTTTGAATTCTCTAAGAAGAAAATCTTCACTTGATTCAATACCATCTCATCTTCGTTCACTCAAACTTAATTCGTCTACTCATCAAAACTCGAATCAAAATCAAAATTCAAATCAAAATCAAAATCAAAAACTATCATCATCCAATCCTCAATCAAATCGAAGAGCCCGTTCATCTTCAGCCTCTAGTACTCCTCGACCTCTTCTATCACTTCTCGATCAACCCTCAATTCGATCTAAACCTATCCTTACTTCTGCTCCCGATCCAAATCCACCGCTTTCACCTTCAACCAAAAAATCAGCACCACCTCCACTCGATCTCACCACTACCCATTCTTCGCGCTCCCATAACAATCCTCTTACCAGTCCTGCACTCTCATCAGTCACAGTTGATTCTTCATCTCAACCACCCCCTCAATCTGCTCCATGGCCTTATCTCATCACTAGCTCAACTGCTCAGCCACCTCACCCTGATTCAACAATCGAAGAAGAAGAACGTAAAGCGGCGGAATGGTATGGCAGCAGTTCTCCTGCTTGGCCAGAAACTGCTTTCGTCAGTTCCACACTTGATGACGTCTACGATCCGATGCTCATCATGACCGGTCAAGATGAAAATGGTCTGACCACCATGGAAAAGATTTTCTTATTTGCCAAGAGTGAAAATGCTTATCATCGGTTTGTCCTTTTTTCGTCATTCAAACCATCACCTCATCAATCTTGGAAACTTGATGGCATTCGATCCATCATCATAATTCATCCTGACCCCATTTTTGCCGCTTTCTCTAATCTGAAAGTGTGATTGTCTCACAGCGATTACCGGAACTTTTAGAAGACGTTGACATCTCCGAAGCTGTAGAATATGTCTTACCTCTCCTTACGGGCCTTGCCCATGATGGTGATTTTCTAATCTATCATTCCTTGACTTCTTCCCATATGATCTTCAACCGTGCACCAGTTAATCAAGACTTTTCTCTTTGAAACTCAGATGAACCAATTCGAGAAGCCTTTGGTCCTTCCCTCTGTAACATCATGTGGTATTTCTTCAGCAAATGCCCTCTTTTTGAATTCGAAGCTCAAGCTGGAACTGTGAATCATGCTACACCGGTCCCTTCCACCTCTCTATCGCCCCCGCCTCAAAAGCGTCCTACTCTCTATCTCAACACATTTACCTCTCTACTCATCACTCTTCTCACTGATCCTAATGAAGCGATCGGCGTTCTAGCTCGATATGGTCTCCTCACGTTTCTTACTAGGCTTCAAGGCAATCACAATAATCAAGCCGATCTTCCGGCGTGGGTAGATGTCGGAGTTGGATCGAGCGATGCATTCTTGCCAGTGAATACTACGGAAGATGTCGGATATGAGCATTATGAATTTGGACCGGCTGAACGACTTGCGATCCTTCAAGAAATCATCAATGGTGTCACTCTAGGCCTTTGTCGAACAGGTTCAGATCATCTTACCAACAGTCACAATCCCTCACTCCCGGTTACGAATCTTGATGATGCAAAGAATTGGGACAACCTTTCACTCAGCGACAATACACAGAATCTCCGCGTGGCCAATTTGAATGATGATGAAGATCAATCCTCTGACTCTTCAAGTCATCTTGCCAATCCTTTTTCGCCCGAGCTGAATAGGTGCTCCATGAATGATTATCATTCTCCTACTACGCCTAACGGTCTTCCTACCCAACAAGACTACTTTACATCCTCAGAGGATCTCACTCCGATAGACTCATCACAGCAAGCTATCAGACGTCAAATTGGATTGGGCTTGATTGGATCCATGATTGAAACAGGCTGTATTCCCGCGAAACTGATGTGGACTAGACTCGTACCCCAAGTCTCGAGAGCAGCCAAACATCCGTATGAACGATCACTATTGGTTCGACAACAAGCTGCTGTAACGTTGACAACGATCTTCCATACGATCCCTACAGCTACTCATACAGACCGAGAAAAAGACTTGGAATCCAACACAACTGATCTGGTTGAAAGTTTCGTGTGCCTCTCTTCCGATCCAGAAGTAGCGGTTCGTAAACAAGCCTGTTTAGGACTTCCGGGATTGGCGAGACTGCGAAACGGTCGAAAAGTGATTGAAAGTCTAGTGGAAAGATTTGGGTCTGATGACTCCAGGGAAGTTAGATTGGTGGCCTCTCAAGTCTTGGGAGAAGTGATTTATGGTTTTGGATTCGGAAAAGTAGCTACTACGGTACCAGATCGATTGGTGGAGTGGTACGCTGATGGGTTTCCAAAGGATCTAGAAGAAGAAGAATTACAATCTCTACGACAACAACAACAATGGAATGGGTTTGGATCGGTGATGCGACCTGGTTTTGGAAGTTGTAGTAATCTGGCCGGCCTTGCTAATGGTCCTACTACTAGTAGTAGTATCAGTAGCAGTGTTACATTCTCAAGTTTATTCAATTCTCCTACCATGGCCACATCCATTGGAGAAGCTGAACGAGCAATGTCACGAGCTTTCAGTTTTCCTGCAGTTATTCTGACCTTAGGAAGGACCAGATGGAGATCATTAAGACCACTTTATCTCAAGCTTAGCACTGATACTAGATTTCCGATCCAAGTTCGAAGGTCATTGGCTTGTTCAATTCACGAGGTGATTAAGATTGTGATGAGTGAAACGGACTCAGGTGATAGTAGTGTAGAAGAGGATTGTGTGGAAGTACTACAAAACTTTTTGTTTGAAGGTCGTGATCTGACCATCTTAGAAGCAGTCTTAGAACATCTCGAAATCAGCTTAGGGTATCTATCACAACAAAATCTGATGAAGATCTTACAACGTCTGAAAGAGATCTTGTCACCTGATCTTCAAAGAATTACCATGGCTAACAATTGGAGGATTAGAGAACGACTTGGTAGACTGTTACCTAAGCTATGGGAAAAGTATGAAGGTTTAAATCATGATGATGATCAACATCAACAGGAATTGGTCACCACCTTTGAAGAGTTGTTGTTAAACGGCTTATGTGATGGAGCAGCAGCTGTGAGAGAGGCATGTTTGGAATTTGTACGTTTCTCAACCATCATGATTTTTGGTATCTGTTATGACCTAGCTGACTAATTGATACCCTGTTTCTATCTTTTTCTATCGCAAACTATAGGTTCCAACTTTGTATCGCACTACAAGACATGACGGTCATGAAATCCGTTCACGTCTTTTAGCTAGTCTATCAAACTTATCCCAAGACTCTAATTATCGAATCCGAATGACGTATCCAACCGCGATGATTTCACTTTTAAAGATCAACACCCCGCCACTTGATAAATCTTTGATTTTTGAATCATTAGAAAGAATCAGTGAAGATAAAGTAGGAGGAGTTCGAATTTGTCTTGCTAGATTGGTTCAAGAGTTATACAAAACTTGGTTATCGAATGAAACGAATTGGCCACATGAAGTTAGAAGAGTCATTGAAAGGTTAAAATCAGATCAAGAGATTGTAGTTCGAAACATCTTAGAAGAAGTGATGATACCTAGAATCCATCAGAGTAGTACAACAGGAGAAGTAGAAGAAGATTTAGAAGGATCAGGAGTCGAAGTGTTTGGAAGTCGATTAAGTTCGGATGAAGATGAAGATTTGTCAATGGGAACTGAAGGGATTCATGAAGTAGAAGAATCATTGGTCTTGAATGGCTTCACGCCTCCTGAACCTAATGGGTTTAGTGATGAAGGTGAACGTCAAACCAATTGGGTCTTTAGAAATCATCTTCAAAGCTCTAGTAGTGGTAATCATCATCATAATCATAATCCTACTACCACTAATGTTACATCTACATCGGTTGTTGGAAATCGTCAGAATAATAGTGGTAGTAATGGGAGTAGTAATAATAGTAATAGTCAAGGTCTTTGGATGAGAGATACAGATGGAGGGTTTGTAGAAGTGGGTGGTCAATATTGATTTATAATAAGTTATTGAATTAAATAGATATACTCATACACATACATTACATAAATTACATACATACATACATATATATATATATGTATATGTCTATTCTTTTTTTATTATTATTTGATGGGTTTATTTTTATTTCTTGTGTTTTTTCGAGATTTTTTTTTTCAAAACTTGTTCGAATTGTTTTTCATTTTGATTTTTTTTTATATTTTGTTTTTGTGAGTTTTTTTTTCTTGTAGCGTTTTTTTTTAAATGGGTTTTGAAAGTGTGGGGTCAGGGATTCAAGAAAAAAAAACAGTCTGGTTATATTATCTATAATGTGTATTTAGAGAAGAAGAAAATGTGTGTGTGTGTGTGTGTGTTTAACAAAAACAAAGAACACAACAAATAAAAGAGAAGGGTTTTATTTATTTTATAGTTTATGAAAGTTGAATGTGTGTGTGTGTATGTATGTACTACATCTACATCTATATTTTAATTAAGTTATATTTCAAGAGGAAGAAAATGGATGAAATTTCAAAGAACTTTGGTTTGTTTGATTGTTTACTCTTTCTTGATCAATCATAAAGAGGATGGTGAAATGAATTTGGGATTTCAAGGTACCTAACTGTGAATTTATTTATAGTGATAGGTTAGGGGGTTTGGTTGTTTTGGATTTTTATAAAGTTTATTTCTATGATGTTGTTCTTTATTGATATTTATCACTTCACCAAAACTTATAAGTCAAAGAAGAATTCATGGTTAAAAAGTAATCATAAGCAAGTGGCTGTCTCTTACATATAGAGACGTTTTAGTAAAACCCAAGATTTGAAGTTTTACAATGGAAAAAAAAAGACTTATTGTTGATCTTGTTGAGTCTCAAGATTGGTTTTGATACTTTTTTGAAACTCCAGGTTTTTATCAATATTTTCTTCAATACTTTATATTTATTAAGGATTTCAATATTTATATGTGCCCAGTGTTTGGTATCTGACGCCTCAAACTGGGTTAGACACCAGGAACCACCAATCATACATCCCTTTTGGAAAGGAAAGTGGGCAACATGAACATGAGTCTTTTACTCTTTCCAACCTTACTCTCTCTTGTACAAGCAGACACATACAAGTCCGTATATGGACGGTCCCAATTGAGACTGAGAGAGTATTGCTGTAATTACCAGGAAAGGGATACTAATTGACTGTCAAACTCAAGACTGACAGAATGATTGCCATGAACAAATGCCAGGACAATTGGATCCTTCTTGTTGGGTGGGTGCACAATAAGGAAAGAAAATAAATCAATTAGCCTCCATAGGGTTGAAGATAATTACTGGAAGGTCAAAAGCACTGTAACCAATACTCCTGCGCGCACATGATGCCTTGGGTTTGCTGTTGAACTAGTAAATCCTTGATGATCTCTGTGGTAAAGATTTGGTATTACGCTTATTCCTAATGCCAGGCTTCATTCAAAGGGGTGTTGATAAAAATAGTTGATGCTCTTCTTTGTGTGACATGAGCTCTTTTAGTAGTTGATGCTGTCCAAGAGGTATGTTCAAGAAAAGACTTTGTGAAATTGAAAAGATCATCAAATTATGTTACCTCAAGCAAATCTTGAAAAGCTTTTTGACATTCTTGCAAGCCCTTAGATTGAGAAGAGACAACTTCATGGTACAGCAATTGAGTTCATTGGTCATATTGTCAACTCAGAGGAGATTATCATATGCTTACATCCAGATAAGAAGAAATCTTTGGTAGAAATGCTTGAAACAACCATGTCATAATTTAAATCATTGGTAGAAACCTTTAGGCCATGCTTCCAGGGTATGTACTTCAATGCCTTGGGGTAGGTTTGCTTTGCAAAGTTTGTTCAAAACAATCAGGAAATAAATCACATAGATATCTCTTGATTCCTTCAAGTATAAAAAATCAATGTGACTTATGCTGGTTGATAAAAAAAGTTTGGTGAAAGGAGTGGTATTCAAATGTTTAAAATGTCGCATTGGGGTAGATCAGAGGCAGACTTGGTATTTTGTAAACATGCCTACATGACAGGAATTGGTGGCTGGGAGCCTGGTTGTTTGATTGGGAAAAATCTTGTTCTTCCCCCTCAATTTGTAACATTTTTTGGGCTGAGTTGTTAGGTTTGATCTGAGGAATCAATGAAAGCAAGAACCAGAAAACCAATGTTAGATATCAGTTTAGTTGAATTAAGGAAAATATCAAAGCAAGATCAACACGATTAGTATTCTTCAAGTTTTGAGTTATTTGATTTGTCTCAATATTAATTATTATGTTGAAGGTTCAATTTGTTTTTTATTTTTTATTTTTTTTAAAAGGTTATTTCCTTGATGATTATTTTTTGGTTGGTTATATTTTATCCTTTGTGTTGAAAAAGTCTCTTTTATCTGTATTGTTTTTTTTTCTGTGTCCACTGGCACGCCACCATGTAGGGTGATTTTTGTTCATTTAAGCAATTCATAACCCTAGGGCGCATAGCCTTAGGTGTCACCCAAAAGCTTTTCACCTGTTGCAGTGTCTCTAGACTGAGTATATAGTACGTGATGTATTCACATCCTGGAAAGTTTCTACTATTGTGATACTTCAAAGTATACCCAAACAAACCATACATCTTCAAGTTAATGATGCATTTTGTTAGTTCACTTGTACCAGGTTTGATATCATATCAGATGAATGGATCCATTTATATCTTTTGGACAATTATGAATCTAATAAAGGAAACTTGAAGTCACCCAAAGTTGACACACCACTTTTGACATTGAGAAATCAAAGTTGATATCAGTGGCACACTGCCTCATATAGTCTTAGCAACACAAAGGCTACAAGGTACAGTGAGTGTAATAACTAATTCCATATCTAGTTTATCTCTTTGATATTCGCTTCAGTCTTCATGTTTCATCACTAAATTTTTGAAAACAATTTCATCTTGAACAATTATTTTACACAATTTTTTTCTAGTTTTATTGCTCTTGAGAAATAAATGTTGTCATATGCTCAATTGGCTTCAAATCAATGATGTCATCTCGTCTTTGTTGATACACACACAAATAATAGAAGAAGGAATGATCTTGATATAGTGAGTCGAATATGATAGATGAGTTTGTAAGGTTGACTATGAAACCGATGCGTATAGACAAAGACAAGATTCTTCGAGGAAGAAGAAAAGACAGAACAGGACTAACAGGTGAGCTTGGCTTATATAGAACAATGAAGACCACACAACCCTTCTCTTTGTATCTTAGAGCACCATTGAGAAAGATCGGTCCACTATGGGCCTGTTTTACACTTGCGCTCCCTACGCTTCCGAATGCCTCAAATTTTGCATTGCGCTTGGTCAAATCCACAAAAGCCTAAAACTTGATTTATCATGGACTTTTGGCGCATCAAATCGGTCAACAGCCATCCAGCTCTGCACTCAACTCGTTCACTCAACATCTTCCCTCTGGCCTCCAAATTCCAGTATATCAATAGTAGCTGCCTACTCGTAACTTTCTAAAAAAGCATTTTGTTTAAAAGAAAGTGATCTCGCATGAATCTGATTGAATCCACCAAGATCAAACAAAAGGTGAGAAAGCTCGTTGCTCATTGTCAACACCTGGAGCCTTCAGTTTGATTCTATCTGGTCAGCAAGGTGGTCATCGGCATAGAAGTGAGTTGGATGTGGCGCGGTAAGATACTATAATTTGATTCTTGACTTTGGCATATGTAGTAGAAATTCAAGGACAAGAACGAAAGAAGTGATTGTTTAAAGCAATTTACCCCTTTTCAAAAACGTGTCCTGTGATCTTGATAGAATTTTACAGAGACTCACTTTGATCTTATCCCCATCCCCACACCAGAAAATTCCAAGATCGACTCACAGAGAGCTTGAAAGGCCTACCGAGTCAAAACAAAAGATCCAATTGACTCACATGACACGGCCTTGGCATTTCATCTTTCTACACAAGCTTGCTTGCATGGACCAGGCTCTGAATGTTCCATCCAACCCTAAATACATCCGCCGAAAGGAATTCCAATATCAGCACATTACTAAGGATCTGCGCTTTACTTTCATAGGCCGGGTGGTGCGCGGCGTACTCTCGGAATTCCAATGCCTTGTCCATCCTAACTCCCACATGTAATACCTTGTGCGACAAGCTGCTCGAAAGTGGAGGTATAGCATCAACACGTTGTCCAAGGAAAGTGCCCATGATATGCATATATTCAATCTGTCCACCCAAAGTCAAATGCTCTCTCCTTCTCTACCGTGCCGGAGCTCTACCGGTCTCTCCACTAAGACCAATTATATGTTTAAAGTGTTATATAGGCTTTCTTACCACGTGTTGCATTTGGGATGCCAGACTGTATAGGAGCTCGAATCAAACTTGACTGATCGCTGAGCCAAGAAGCTTATAACATCAAACCACTTATGATTGAATTGCAACAAACCTGGTGGATTATGAGTGCTTTATCAGAAACTTGTAAGATGACCAGGCCATGTGAAGATGTATAATTGATGGGATTCAACCATCCAAGGAAAGAGCAAAACTTGTGCGTACGGGGGAGTGGCAGTCTCAGAAGAAAAGCCCATCGAAATGAGGATACAAGTTGGGCATGTGATCTGTATCTGTATATGATATGGTATTATTCGGGATCGTAAACCAAGGTATATTCATATTCAGTTGAGAGAGTTTGGAGGACAAAACAATTCAGGTACGAGAAACTTCAGCAATGAAACAATAGAGATCAATTTCAAGGAATGCTTGGATATCTCTTTTAGCCTCTATGTTGTATCACTGCTCATAGCTGAGTAGCGTATCAAAAACGCGGAAGGATGCCGAAGCTGGGGCCATGTGAACCCAAATTAGCTGTAGCTTAAGTTTACCGCAGTGTGATCATAAAGATCCTGGGAGTCGACTAGAGCAATCCACATTTAAAGAACATACGGGTTTCCCTGTGTGGACTCTGTCAATCATGTTTGCTTGAGTTTCTAATTGACACAACTATTCAAAACACATTCATTCGTACTTGTCTTGAGAAGTGTTATGGAAACTCAAATCCAGTTTGAGGGAATTAGAGAAGATGTTTCAAAATTCAAGCCATAATATCTGCAGGCTTAGACAGGCTTGGTGGTAAACTCTGGTAAACTTTCTCATCATCAAGCATTCAGTCTTCATCAGGGTCAGATTGACCGGCTGTCCCGTTGGGTGGGACTGGGCACCATGGGTGGGGTTGGGTTGTGGGGTTCCGATCAACAGATGGTCCGCCGAGGATTTGGTTCTGGCGATAAACCTCGAAACTTTGTAATCGCTTTCCGGAATTCCACTCCGGGTTTCGCTGTCTCTCTCTGGTATGCCTCTGCCTCTGTCCATATGCACCTTTAGTCTCGCCTGCGGTATGGCTTCACTTGTGAGTGTGCAGACTTCGTCCGCGGCTTTGGTGGATAGACAAACGAGCGAACAGAGTTTGAAGCAGATCATAAAAGAAGATAATTATTCAAAAGGAAATATCATCAACTGAAGCTTGTCAACCTACTTCATTCATCCGATTTCAGCCTGGATTCACTCGTACTGACAATTCTAATCTGATTACGATTGTGACCATCAAATAGTAACCTTGTACATAAAAAAGTCCTTCTCTCAATTCGATTCGTCTTCGCGTTTCCCGATTTTGTGTGTGACCGTGCTCCTTGTTATTTTGTGATCGACAACAAAGCGGTGATCTGAAGCTCCAGTTGAACTTTTCCTATATAAACATACCGGCCTCAATCTTCACTGTCACCTCACCCTCAGCTTCTTTCTTCACTCAATCCAAGTGTGATCACCATCAACATTGAAAAACTCTTCAAAATTATTCGTTGAACCGGTTACTTTCCAGACCTTATCATTCTTCTCGCTTATTGGCTTATACTTTCCTGATTTTCATTTGATCATAAGTGTTGGGGTTGTGAGCTCGCGTCTTCGGTTTTCCGCTTGGGTGCAGACTGTTTACTTTATATTGATTGATTATTGATAGGAAGTCCTCAAAAGAGAGTTGAAAGTGTGGACACAAATACACTTCACTCACCCCTTGATCGTAGTTCTTCATTCGAATAGGTGCTTCCCATTTTAACTCAGGTCTTTATTTACAAATCTCCCACTCGCTCGCTCGACTAATTTTTAGTTTTAGAAGAGCTCTGAGCGTCTACAAGGCGGAAGGTCATCCTGATAATTGTTTTTACCTGGTAAAGTGAAGGATTGAGTTGAAATTATTCCTCTATATCTATCATCACTGGCCATAATAATCTACATCACATCCATAAGCCTGATCAACCGCCCTCAAGACTCGTTGATCAGATTATACTTACCTTCGAATCGATCAAGCTAAGCAACATGATGGACTGGGATTGGTCAACAGCCCTATACCCGGCTCAAAAGCTTACAAAACAACCACATCCTTCATCAACTATCACGCTGGCATCACCTAAAACTAAAACTGAGTGCGTTATAAGTCAATTTCAACCCTTGAAATTGAATGATCATTGTGTTTGACTTCTTTGTTGGTGCTGATATAAATTCACGCGTTCAATTCACAGCAACTTTTTCAGCTGTATGACTACTAGCGATCCTCCACCGAGTCTCACTTCTTTCCATTATCCCACTCTTAACACAGCAACTTCATCGTCCTCATTGTGGGGTCATCAAAACCTCAACCAAAATCGAAATGAGTCTCATCGTCATAATCTAATCAATCCTCACTCTAACTTTGGTTTACCATCAGATTATCTTAACTCGCCTTCTCAATCTTGTCATCAACTTTTGGATTCATCAAATGATCTTAATCTAAATTGTAATATTCCAGTATCTTCTCATTCTTCATTGATAAAGAATATTATCACTACTAGCGCTGCTACTTCCAATATGACATCTTCATCGTCATCCAATCTAAATAATTCTCTTTATCCTATCAATAGTACTACTTCATCTCATCCTACCTCTCCTCCATTACTTCATAATCACCAACACATTCAACAACAACAACAATTGGCTCAACATGCGTTTTATACTCGGTAAGCTATCGTTCAACCCTTGTTTTGCTCTTTGCCATTATTCTTCCTCTTAAAATTTCTCTTTTGGCTTCTATGAATGTCATGAAACTGGGCTATACATGTCTTTCTTCCGTTCTTTGTTACCTTTCTTTTGTCCTCTCGACGAGGAGATACCCGAGATATCAATGCGCATAAAAGTCGATCACATACATTTTAACCATCTTAATGTCGCAAACCACTTTAGCCTATTTGGCTCTATTCAGATTCACAGCATTTGACATGAAATCTTTAGCATAAACACTACATAGCGTCTTGAGTCGGGTATTGATTGGTTCTGATCGATTTACTCTCTTATCTCCAGACCAACATCGTTTCCTATCAACTGCAGCCCACCCGAATATGTCCCCGACCCCTCCCCACAACGTATGGAGGCTTTGCATCGCTCGCCATCTTCAAATCCAGACATTTCTCAAAGTCCTCCAATAGGCCATCAACCAGATTTGAATCATTCGTACGTTGCCTTTCAGGACCCTCTCTAGCATCCTGAGTCGCCTTGCGGCCCAATCACCGCAAATCAAACCTTTCACCATGTCAAAATCCACTGACTACTTTCTCTTACGATGTGGGGGTTCCCTTCCATGATATATACGTCAATCGAAATATTTTTGATGCCTTTCGTGCCGACCGGCGATGGCATTTGCCAACAACAGCTCTGAATCTCTGGCCAGATTTTTTGCATCGAGTCCAGCTTCTCAATTCATCAATTTGCAGAACGGGCGCAGACCATCTTCAGGTGGATCAGTCCATTCTGATCTCAGTGCCCTCTCGGGTCAACCCATGGTATCTCCTGACTTCGAAGGTCTGAGTCTGGACTATCATAGCCTTGGGCATACCAGCGACGCTGCGAGCATCGGAAGCATCGGAAGCTCATCTAGTCTATCGAATTTGAGCTATCAATACGAGGGCTCGGAACAACCCGCGCACTCTTCTCCCGAGGCGTTTTCCACAGGTCACAGCCGACAGTCTTCTCTATCCTCATCCATCCACCCAGAGCCACTACCTTTTTCGCTAGCAGATCTGTACCCAAACCAGACAATGCCCGATGCATTTCATGCACCAAATCAAGCCTTCGAAGGACTCTGTGCTGGTGGGCTTGGTGGTATCCAACCTGGTAACTTTGGCCGCCCTGAACTCAGTACACGTCCTCAATTTGACCAACGCAAAGTCGAATCAAATCAAATCACCAATGAATTGGAAAATGTTAGGCCTACTCTGAGTGCAATATCGATACACGGACAAACCAATTCGACTATTCCCAATACCCTTGCAGCCAAGGGACAACCCCTCAATATCTCCACCAATGTAGCTACTCACTCCACGTATCTTCATCCAAACGACGCCCTCAGGCATGCTCCTCATCGGGCAACGCCCAAACGCCAAAGAAGTCGCTCTGAAGGTGACCTGTTAAGCAAGCTTCTGTCTCACGCCCAATCTGGTCCATTCTCTCTAAGGCAGATGCTTCAGGATGACGCGGGCGTTCAGCATATGGCTGCAATTGCCTTGAGTCCCAAAACTCCGATAGAATTTCATGCGGAACATCACTTTCAATTTCCACCTACAAACCCGCTCAATGATCAAGACGTAGACTGTAATCCATCGAATTTGTTCCGAAGTCCAACCAGCATTGTTGAAAATGACGATCCACGAGGTACTCTTAGCCCATCTGGTTCATCGGGCCCTCCTCCGATTGGCCGTCGAAGAGCTGTCTCCGCTGCTCGTTTACCGCCTGAAGGATTCTTCAATCTCACTGAAGGTGATCTCACTCCCCAAGGACTGATATACAATCAAGCGCTGCCCTTTCAACACCCGTTACAAGCGCAACATTTCCCATTATCCAGTTCAATTTCGTTCTCGAATAGGCCTCCCCAGATTCTGTTGTCCAGCGAATCTCGGTCTTCGAGTTTTGCAGCTGGACATAATGGAATTCAATCCACGGCAAGCGTTCCCAATTTAACTCCTCAGTTCATGTCACCTACGATGAACAACAGTATGGACATAGATGAACCAACCGATAACAGCATGTCAGTTACAAGCTTTGGTCCACCAGGCTCTGCAACTTTGGAATCTCAGTTTCTCCCTTTCGAATCTCCGGCCGCGTCCTTTCGACTTTTACAAGGGGATCCACAGATTCCTCGTCAGGTTTGTACTCGAGCGACAATCGGCTTGGGTATCAGCTCTTCGAACAACAATAACTTTCCTCCGCCTGACCTCCATCGATTTTCAGCTCCTGAAAGCGAAGGAGCGAATGAAATATTTCTTCCGTTCAACTCTAGGCCTGGGTCACTCGAATCAACATCGCATAGAATGTCAGACCCCTACCTGAAATTTCGTTCCGTACTTGATCCCCAGGCGATGAACGAGAAAAGCCAACAGTCTCATCAGGCTAGGACGTCAACAGGGTGGCCGAGCAGTCCGCCTCCGACTTTCGATTTTGGTCCTGATCAACATCCTGCTCAACCCATTCACTCTTCGAGCCCAGGTGTCATGGATGACTTTAAAGATGAAGGTTTGAGCTCTGGTCTCGTGAGAAGCCCCAATATACACAATGGATCTACGGCGACAGCTTCTCAACATCCTTACGACCATGCTTTGGGGAATATCGGCGGTCGGATCAGGAGGACTGCGCCTGCTACACGCAAATGTCCAGAGTGTAGTGCCACCTTCACAAGAAACGATAGATTGAAATGTAAGTCAGAAAGACTTTTTTGACGTCTATCAGGCTCTTGGCTTTTTGTATTTGTTCCGCTGAAGTTCTCCTTATAAAATGTTCATTCTAGATCATTTTGATGCCAAACATGCAAAAGTACCACCCGCTTGCTCATGCCCAGTGGTAGGCTGTTCTAAATCCTTTCGACAAAAGTCAGATCTTTCTAGACATATTAAATCAGTTCATCGGGAATTGAACCAACCCGGTCCCACGGATTTCCAGGAGCCTCCTTCGAATAGGATCAAGCGTAACGGTACATGACTAAACCACGCATAAAAAAGAGACTAACATGTGTGACAAGAGATGTTATAATTCTATGTTTGTGAACCGCTATCTTGTTTGTCATCGTGCGTATAAAACCTAGTTTCTATATATTCCTCTGTTCTCTCTGTTTTGCAGAATCAAATGTTCTTCCTTAACAAAATGTGTACCCGTACCTAAATACCAAGTGTAATAAGACCCTAATTATTCTAGCCCAAACTCACATGATACTCAACACATGGAGACTGAATGTCTCTCGTCTGGAAAGCATGATGACTCTCAATTAAGTGTGAACTTTGATGTCAGCTTCAAAAGGGTTTGCCTATCCTTTATCGCTCCTTGACTCAAAACCTCTAAACTTAGCTCAAACCTGCCCTCAAGCCTCAACCTTGGGGGAACGTGTCATAGGCAAACACACCTGAATCTTCTGATGGAATGAGGTTGATGAGATGAAACGTTTGAAGTCCAGAAGAAAAACAAACTTTCTATCGACTGCACCACAAAAGTAAATGTCTTTTCACGGATTTGTTTCATACATTTCAATCGCCTGACCTAATTTCCACTTCCGTTTTACACCATTGAAGGCAAACTTTTCTTTCTTAAAGCCAAGTTTCAACAACTTGAGTGATCCCAACTGAGTATATTTTGTTTTTCACGCAATGTACTGGTTGAAATTAGAGTGATGTGGATTGAAAAGAAAAGAGGAAGAATTGAATGACCAAAGGTTTGGATGGAATTATTTGTTTGCAACTGGTGGTCAAAGGTGTGACGTCATTGATGAGTCACATCAGGACCCGAGACGCGGTGGATGAGACCGAGTGAGAAGCGCGGGGCCGGGAAAACACACGCGGGCCTAGGCGTCAGAGAAATTGGGAAATTGGGGGTTGGCGCGCCTTTGCAAAAATCACACCAAATCACCAATATTGGAGTTGTTGACATCAACAGTAGGACTTGTATACTAACTGGGAACTCCAAAGGCATCTCTTGCTCATGGCAAAAGTGTTGTGGTAGATGGCTCCAGCAACTTGAAAATTAGAAAAAATATTGACAAAAAACAACATCTTGGCCCTTGTTATGAGCCGTCCACAAGGCTACTTACAATATGCTTGTACTGTGTTTCATCATCTCTTAGTTGCTGGCTTGAGGATGGCCTGTGCATCCTCACATTACAATCCAAATACCTATACGGGATTACCTTTAGCTCCCTTACATCTCATTGCCCACTCACGAGTCCTTACATATTGAGGACCAGGCGCAGTTCGGCCCGAAACCTGCGCGTTTTTGCTAACTTTTCCAGTTCAAGACTAGATTTTGACTTTGAGATCGGCAAGGATCAGCCAAAGCTCCATGTAGAGCGCGAGTGACATGCAGAAGGATGTCACTCGCTGACCTATCTAAAACCATGCTCTATGTTTGCGATGTACGATGGATAGACTGGTGAATGCTGAGCTTGATGGTGATATTTTAATCATCCCGATCCCTACTTATTGATGTCGTTAATAGCCAACGCACAAAATTTGATTGAAGCAGATATTTCAGATTATAGATAGATATGGCTTCATAACTAATTATCACTGAGGAAGGAAGAAAGCATGAAAGATCCTTATAGGTGTCCTTATATTCCATAAGCACACCTTTCACAGAACTCCCCTTGCCTCCGGTGATGGATGTACTTCCAAAACCCATAGAGCTTCTTTCTCATTTGAGCTTAAAAAGCCTGTGCAAATCATCCTTGAGGGAAAGATGCACAGGTTGCATCACCATCAAATGTGCCGAAACCATATTCATAGAGTCGAAAAGGATCAAATAGCAACGCATTTGTGAGCTCCAATTTTAGGACCTCACGAATGTGTTGCAATGGAGCGAAGAGCTATTGGAATTCAATCGTTCTCGGGTCAAGTCTTTCACCATCAATACTTCAAGTGGGCATTCATTCCTCTTTGGGATTGGTTAGTGGGATTGGTTGTCACGAGTATAATTGAGATTTGTGTAGTGTTTGGTTTATTGGACCAAAGGGGTCAAGTGGTAGCAAGGAATTGTGTTGGCTGAGACGCAAGGGGTGTGGTCGCGTGTTGTTTTTCATTTTGTTTCTCTTGTGTGTTTTTCTTATATATCTGGGCTCTCTTTTGTCCCCTTTAGATTTCTTTTTCCTCACTGTCCGGGGAAAAGAATCTAAAGGTAACAGTTTTTCTTTTTACTTCTTTCGTTTACTTGTTAGAGTTCATTAAGCTGATAACCTCCCATACTGTTGTATGGTTATCCTTCTCATTTTATTTTCTTTACAAATCTCTCTCTCGTTTTCGTTTCTCTCTTTCATCTCGTAGTCTTCTATTTTCTTTTTACCTAACCTTGGCAGGTTTGCCTACTTGTTAAATCTCACCGAGTCTTGTCAACTCGTCATCGTGAGACTTATATCATTTTCTTTTGTTAAAGGTGTGTTTATTATTACTAGTTTTACTCTTGATGTCTTTCTCTGTTTGTTGTTTTTCCTCGCCGTCTGGGGAAAAGAATCTAAAGTCTTCTATTTTCTTTTTACCTAACCTTGGCAGGTTTGCCTACTTGTTAAATCTCACCGAGTCTCGTCAACTCGTCATCGTGAGACTTATATCATTTTCTTTTGTTAAAGTCTTCTCTGCGTTAGATTCCTTTAAGAGCAACTGAATTAGAGAACTGATTTACATCAGTTCCTCGTAACAGAAGTATGTTTGATCACAAGCCTCACTGAAACCATGTGAGGCTCGACGATAAAAAAATCGTTTATCTTGCTTGAACAATGTCTGAAAGTGCTTTATAAGCCACTTTTGAAAAGATTGCTTGAAAACCCGGTTAAAACGAGCCTACTAACGATACTCCTTTCACGACAACGACCTCACTTCCGCGCCTGGTCCTTATTGTAACGTCTATCTACTGGGATCTAAGGAAGCTAGAGAATTGAAAAGAAGATCAAGCAATTCAAAAAGTTATCAAGCATCAAGAAGATTCATAATTAAAGTTTAAAGTTAAAGTTAATTGATTAGAAAGCAAGTAGTATTAGGAAGATCAGTCTTCAAAGTTTTAAAAGCAATATCAAGTAATAGTTAGAAGTCAAGTAAAGCTCAAACCGATTTAAAGCTGACTGTTCACATTATCCCACATCTTCTAAGATCACATCTCAATTCACAATGCCGGACTTTACGCTACCTCAAAGCCCGACTTCCACAAGTCACGCTTCTACTAGTCGCAACTCAGATACATTTGAAGACACTGTAGAATTACTATCTGAAGAAAACATGTCTAACGTTACGCTAGAAAACATCATGAAAGAATTAACTCTGATGAACTCAAGACTGAATGAAGAGACTGAACGCCGGAAGAAAGCTGAGACTGACTGTCAAGAAGCTAATGCCCGGAGTGAAGAGTTGGCAAAAAAATTGATGCAACTTGAGCAAAATCAACTCAGAGCTCAATCTCACAAACCAACTAGCTCAACCCCGCCTGTAGCTCATCCTCATATCACTGTTCAAGCCCCTGTATCCAAGCCCCCTAAAATCGCAACACCGGATAACACTGCGCCAAATCGCAAATTTACCGTGGAGTTTAGAAAATTGAGTAGACATAGAAAATTATAGAGAAGCTGGCAAGGGTCAGAAAAATATGAAAAAATAATGGGAGGGCCCTTTGATGCATTCCAATTGTCTGGCATATTTTTTCATATTTTTGAAACCACAATGCATATAATACTACACAAAATATAATATCTTCTGGGCAGAAAATATAAAAACCAACAAACAGTGATATTG